CACCACAACATGAGGAACTGTATTAAAGGGTCACGGCATTAGGAAGGTTAAGACCCCACTGTTCTAGAGGGTCACAAATTGGCAATTAAACGCTGTGGCCCTGAATGACACACATAATCTTCTTACAATCATTGCCCAGAACTAGTCATGTGGTCCCACTCACCCACAAGAAAGCTAGGAAGTGCAGATGGGGGAAATATTTGGTAAACAGCATAATCCAACTGCATATGAACTGTATAATCTAATGTACTCTAGGACTGATGAATAGGGGCCCAATGTCACTAGTATTGCAGCCCTTCACCTATTCCCAGACTTTAGAGACCCCTGACTAACAGCACAAGTCCATATTATGCACCTTTCTCCTAGTTGCCCACAAAGGAATCTGTGGTGATTTTGTCAGGTAAGGGGGGATAATCCCCAAAACTGCCGTTTACAATTGACCCTGACTCTGAGATGAAACCAATTCCTTGATGTGCAAACCACCAAGTTCATCCACCAATCAAGGACTTAAAAAACTAAAGCGATAACTGAAGCTTTGACCAGAATCGACAAGCTCCATGGGGCATCAATCGTCCAGGGTAATTTCCCCCTCCCTCCCTTGGTTCTGAATGTAAAGATGGAGCATGAAGCCACCGCATGACACCCTGACTCAAAGATTAAGTGTAGGGGCGGCTGGTTAACTCAGGTGGTTAGAGCGCAGGCTCATAACACCAAGGTCAGATCCCCACATGGGCCACCGAGCTGCGCCCTCCACAACTAGACCGAAACAGCTACTTGACTTGGTGCTGATGGGTCCTGGAAAAACACACTGTTCCCCAATAAAAAATTAAAACAAAAGGCTAAGTCTATATAATAAGAAAAGCCTCATAGAAGCCCCTCCTGGCTAAAGGAGGAAGTGAAAGGTAAGTTTATTTCAAACCCATCAGATAGATGTTCTATAGTGTTAAACTCTGCAGATCCATCTCAAAGCAAAAGGATCGCATGACTGCTATTGATGACATGGAAGTGACCTCATTCAATTCCTCTTAGAGGTAAATGACGGACAAGTAGATAATCTTTCTTTGCCCTGAAGAACGAACAACATGACAGCTTCTACTAATTTGGCAGCTTGAAAGAATGAACTGGTTTTTCCCTTCATGAGCTGTGATTTCATTCAATAGTTTTAATAATTAATTGTGTAGGAACAAAGTGTAAGTGACACTTGGAAAAACTGAGGTTTAATTCTTTAAACACTGAAAATTTTTGTATTTTAACTGTTTTGAACAGAAATCTTAAAAATATGTATCACCACAGTCCCTGCTGTCTTTCTTGTCTTTTTTTTTTTTTTCTTACTGAGACTTAAGCCATTCAATTCCCTAAACTACTAGCTTTTGCTCTGCCTAAAGATACTGGTTGGGGATTTTTACTTTGTGTACTTAATGCTTGCAATGTCAACTGCACCAAATATAATTTGATTTCGCCTTAATTTTGCTGGGCCACCATTGGAAATCAGTTATTGTACAATATTATAATGCATTCATGGTTTCAATAGGGTTGCCAGTTTTGAATTTCTGATAAACAATGAATTTTTTTAGTATTAATACATCCCAAATATTGTCTAATCACTTATTGTTTATTTGAAATTTAAATTTAACTGGGTACCTTGTATTTTGTCTGGCAACTTTAATCAAGTACCACTGAACTACACTGTCCTGTTTGGCTCTGGCTGACCTTAGACCAACATGTTGTTCTCATTTATCTGTCTTTAAGGTGCCAAAATTTTGCCTTTAAAATTTGTTATGATAGAGAGGCCAAAGCTGGTCCTTTGCCCAAGTGTCTTCAGATTGCTGTTTTTCTCTGTCCTTTCATGGCCATCTCTGTTCTTTACCGATACTTATTGTCCCTATTGCTACTTTTGCTGTCTGCCATCTTTCTTCTAAACTGTGCCCATTCCTCTTCTGTACCATTTTTTCTTCCTATGACAGCTAAGTGTTGTGTTTTAAAGCACGGATTTTAAAGGCAGACAGATTAGGATTTGAATCCCAATTTACCTTTCAGGAGATATGGGAACTTCAGTAAGTCACTTAATGTCTGAAAGCCTCAGTTTCTCCTGTAAAATACAGGTCTTCTGTAAAATACTGATGTCTACTTTACGGGGTTGTTGTGAGGGTTAAATGCGGTGATGTAGGCAAACTATACAATGTTACAATCCTTACTGGATGGTTATTAAAAGAGCTTCAGGCCTTGAATATTGACTCGATGTCTTTGAATGTGCGGGGTGCCTAGAGTTGCACTCAGGCTCTGGTGACATTCTTTCCTGGTATGCTTTTTACTACCATCTGACTTGTCTGTGACATTATCCCCAACCAGTTCAAGAAATATGTGTTAAGTTTCTACTATGTGCTAAGCACTGTAGCAGGTGCTGGAGATCCAGAGATAAATAGGACAGTACTGACCTCACGGAAAATGTTGGACAGAAAGGATAGATATAAAACAGATCACAATACAATGAAGTAAGTAAATAATCTAGATATTCATAGGATGCCTCAAGATGGGACCACAGAGAAGGAGGTCCCCAGGGAGGAAAGAGGCAAGAAAAGGCTTCAAGCTTGTGATAATATTTGAGCAGAGAATTAAAAGATGAATGGGGCTAGCTGTAATATAAAAAATATGAGGGTCTGGCCGAGTGGCTCAGCTGGTTAAGAGCTCGCTTGGGAGCGCCAGCTCTGAGCAGCAAGGCTGCAGTTTCGATCCCACATTGAGGGCCAGTGACACTCACCCTCTACAGCTAAGAACAACAGCTCGACCTGGAGCTGGGCTGCCATGAGTCGCTGGTGACGGGGTAGGCTGCAGCCCCTGCTGCAGTGGGCTGCCGTGAGCTATATAAGCGGCCAGCAGCCGGTATGAGCTGCTGGGAGCCGCTGGGAGCGGCCAACCAATGACCGACAACTGATTGCCTCATCCAGGAAGAGCACAATGATCATACCAACATGGGCCAATGAAGCGACATTCTCCACAACTAGACTGAAGAACAAAAACAGCAACTTGTCTACCTGTCTATTCCCCTTCTCCGATTCCCCAACGCTGTTCTCCTCCCAATTCCCCCCCAAAAAAATCTTAAAAAAAATAAATATGAGGGAGCAGTGCAAATATATTCTACACATAGTGAACAGCATGAAGAATAGGAATAGGTACTATAGTTGGTACATAGAGAGAAACTCAAAACAGTTCAGTATTATTAGATTATAAATTGTAAAGCTAGAAAAAGATAATGAAAGGATTTCTTTTGGTCATCAATTTTTGAGGCTCATATCTTTACATCCATTGAATTATATATTTGGCCCTGTACTTTCATTGTTGCTTTTATTTGCATAGTCATTTTCAATGTCATGCCTGTCTAAGATGCTAAAGCACATGCTACTGTTTCATAATCATAAGTGCTTTTCCCCCCTCTCACTTTTCTCATTTTAAAGCTTATTGAACACACTGAAATATCTTTCTTTTCTCTAAATAGTGTATTTATGTCAAAAAGTATATTTTTCCTGCTGGTGTATTTTTAAAATATTTAAAATTTTTCTTTCTCCTTACAACCACATATATTTACTGTGTATCTCCTACTTTTTGAATGAATAAAATGAATACTTTAGAATATTGCCTAGCTTTTATTATGTTCCATGCACATTTTAATTGCAAAATATTTGGACAAACATTAAGATCTAATATATATTCCACTATGCAGGATTTTCTCAAGATCTTTATACAGAAAATTTTAAAGCCAGTTATTCTACTCTTAAGAGTTAATTTTCTGCTCGCTCTTTCTCCATGTCTCTCTTTGACAGAGTTTTAATTATTTGCAATATAGAGACATAGGCTTATAGTGGCATTGTGTTAAGGAGAAGCCCTACTAATTGATGATCAAACTGGACCTAGAATTTTAATTTCAGCTTGTCAATCACCAGAATGGGCTGCAGTGTTTGGAGGGTTTCCAGTAAAGATGTTGAAAGGCTTTTAAAAGGTAATGTTGTGTAAGGTATCCATGATGCCTGGAAGGGGTTAGTCCTTTTCAACTCTGACATCCTAGCCGCATTTGCTCTTTTTTTCCTCCACTGATTAATGGCACTAGGCCCATTGGTGTCGCCGCTTTGGCCTCTGCTCAGCCTCAGCGTCTCATCCAAGGTGGAGAAAGTGGTCGTTTCCAAACGAATAAGTCTTCTTCCAGACTACCGGGTGGCAGTCAGAGCCAGAGCAGACCTCGTTTGTTTTCAGGGTCAGTGACTGTCATTATTAGAAGCGGGTTGTTTACTTCCTGGATCCTCCTCCCCAGTCCCTTTCAGTCTTTGCCCTAAAGGACTTTGCCTTTCCTTACGCAAAGGAACACCCTGGCACCGTCCGCCACCGGGCAGCACCGCAGAAGCCCGCGGCGGGTGTCTCTCCGTCCGCCTCATCCCCTCGGGACACATCTAGCAGGAGGCATTGCCCCGGGCGGTGACGCGCCGGTGAAGCTGGCACCGGGGGCTGCTCCACTGGCAGCCCAGGTGCCTCGCCTTCAGGACGAAGCTGGCAAGCGCCGAGCCAGGGCTGTCAGAACAGAGCCGGGAACGGCGTTTGCCGGGGCCCAAGCGGAAGCCGGAGCATTTGTGGGACGGGACCGCGGGAACCCGGAAACGCCTGGGCCGTGCAGGGCTGGCCGCAACGACGGCGGCGGGAGCGAGCCGCGCTGCGCGTCAGGGGTCACGGGGGACCCGGCGGGCACGGCAGCCTGGGGCGCCCGGCGGAGCGGAGCCGCCGCCTCCGGTGCGCGCAGCCGGCGGAGCTGCGCGGGAGGTGAGCGGTGCGCGCTGCTGGGGAGCTGCGGGCACGGGAGGCCGGGGCGCGCGAGTGCCGGGACGGCCGGACAGCTCCCGGGGGCGCAGGAGGCGGCGTGCGTGCGGCTGGTGCGAAGAACGTCTGCGGGATCGGGACAGTCCTGGCTATGTGGCGTGGAGCGAATGAAGTGACACGTTGTAACTCGGAGGGACGTGTGGAATGTGCTGGGTGGAGGAGGAAAAAGGGCCGGAGGAAAGGGGTGTGTAAAGCGATGAGAACGTCAGAGTGTGCCTGGGCGCTGGGGCGTGCACAGCGCCGCTGGTGGGCTAGGCTGACGGTCATTCCTTCGTGAACCTCCCTTGAGCGCTCTCGGTGACACCGATCCACCAGACCAGCACCCGCGCTCGAGAAGCTGCAGGGACTTCAAGAAATGGTAAGGCTGTCCCTTAATTAGGCTGGAACGGAGGAAAGGACGGTCCGAGGCCAGGTGGGATCCTTATCAGAACAGCGGTAGGTGTGTCTGGGTTGGGGGAGAGTTCTGTGTATTCAGGAAGGGAGGGTTTCAATGAACGTTTATTTAAAGCAGCGGAACACCTTTCCGGAACGTTGGTGCAAAGGAATTAAACACTAATATTAAATGTAGTAATAGGCCTTTTATTACTTTTTTACATTTCATTACTTTATACCATAAGACTGACTCTTTTATTATGTGCCACTACATGCAATATTTGAAAATGGAACCAGAGTTAAGTTTTTTTGCTTTTGGAATTAACATTCAACTTTGGTAGAGATGAAATTTGGTACAGTTTCTCACTTCGTGCTCTTATTCACTTTCACTGGTAACTTCTGGTTGTTTCCTTTAAGGGAATGACTTCTAAATTTACATTTCTGGTCCTAACTTTCCTCCCAAGTATTGATTTTACTTCTCCAGTATCTCAAATTTAATTCTTCCATTTCTCATTCACACTATCTCTGTCCTAAGTCTGGCTCTTTTCTCCTCTTCTTATTTGCACAATAACAATGGCTTCCAAACTAGACTTGCAGCGCTCAGCCTGACCCCCTTCGTATTATTACACCCCCTCCATATTGCTTTTTAAAGCCAAAGGTCTTATGCATTCTTTGGTCACTCTTTCCTCAGAAACACTCAGTAACTATTGACTCCAGAATAAAGTAAAAATTATTTAGGTTGTCATCCAAAGCAGTTCTAAATTTGGAGCTGTCCGTGGCTCCAATCAGATCAATGTGATACTTTCTTTTTTGTTTTTTAAATTATTTTATCTCACATATCCTAATTTTTAGCCAATCTAGAGTAGTTATTTGAAATGTAATTTCTGATTATACTTTATACCTGCCTGTCTTTATCTTTGCTTACATCCCTTCTTCCTACAAGGAAGGCCTTCCTTACCGTCTTTGTAGAAATTCTTATTCTTTAATAGCTTAAATGCCACCACCTCCTTATGAAGCTTTCTGAAGTCTACCATTAGTTCAAAACATTCTTTTTTTCTTGTGTGTTGGGCTTTATAAATCTTATTGTACTTATTAAATTTGTATTGTATTATGGTTACTTGAGAAATTTATCACTACTAGAATGTAAGCTTTTTAAGGAAAGTAACTATCTTTTAAATTTGTTTAGCTCTTTAATACCTGAGTGCAGTATTATGATATATTAGACTCTTGATAAATAATTGCTACATTAAATCCTATAATGAAATAAACTTTTATAGTGCTCCGAGAGACAAGGATAATTCTTGTGTTGTAGTGTAACCTTATTTCAGATTTTTTATTAATGATCTTATATTTGAAAGTGCTTTTCTGTTCTATGTTTTAATACTTGATTTGATCCTAGTAATAAATCTTTGAGATAGTATAACTATTATCACCCCTGTAGGGAAGGAAAAAAAATTTCTACTCTTCTGAGTTCTTAGCTGAGACCCCTATAATAAGACAGATTAATGAGAAAAACAAACAAAAAAGTTTATTAACATGTGTACTTCAGTTCAATATGAATTGGTAGCTCAACATTAGATTTCAACCCTCTAAAAAGCAAGTGTATCCTAAGTATTCCGTCTCAGTTCTGGAGGCAAGAAATCCAAATCAGTATCAGTGGGCTGATATCAAAATGTCAGCCTGGCCATGCTTCCTGTGGAGGCTCTGGGGAGAATCCAGAAAGCTTGCAGCTTCTAGTAGCTATCAGCATTCAGCTTGTGGCTGCATCGCTCCAATCTTGAAGGCCAGCGTCTTCAAATCTCTCTCTGCTCTGTCTTCACATTGCCTCCTCTTCTTGTGTGCCTGTATTTTCCTCTTCTGTTTCTTATAAGGCACTTGTGTTGGCATTTGGGGCTCATTTAGCTAATACAGGATAATCTTCCCATCTCAAGATCCTTAAGTTAGTTTCACTTGCAAAATCTCCTTTTCCAAATACGGTAACATTTATAGGTTTTAGGGATTAGGAACTGATATTTTTGGAGGCCATTATTTAGCCCACTATAATCCTCAAGCATATTTTATGTCTGGTCATGGGCTAGGATATGGAGATTATAAAAATATATATATAGTATAGGATCCTGGGACCCTGTAAAGTTGTAAACTCAATTTGCTTTTTATTTCAAATTACTGTAGGATCAGATTTTGGATTTGGTTTTCAGAAATGCTGACTTTACAGCTAAAGGAGATAAGTTGTTTTAGGGTAGTCATAGAAGCTTTCTGATTTCTTACTTGGACCTTGGGCTGTGAATTTGGGCCTCAGGTTCATTATTTTCTTTCTCCAAGTTTTCTAGCTGACTTAGAAGCAACCATTACATGCCTATTTCCAGTAAAATGTTGTAGCAGCAACTACTTGATCAATCCTGATTATAGGTGATAATTTAAGTAATACTTCCCTTGACATGATGAACTAGCAGTTCTTGACCACTGGTAATAGGTCATTAATGTTTTAAAATTTAATAAGATCAGAAAACTGATTCCAGATTCCTATCATTATGGTTCTGTTACACTGGAACCACATTTGGTACCAACTGCATCAGTTAGGGTTCTGTAGAGAAACAGAACCCTTCACTATTATGGAATAAGAGATTTATAATAGGAAAAGACCTTTCACAATTGAGAGAAGCAGGGGAAGTAAAGGTCAAAGAAGAAAGTGTTGGAGGATTACTGAAAAGTGACTGAGCAGCCCTCCTGAAAGACTGGTATGGGTATCCAAGTCAGAGCTTTCAAAGGAATCTATCTAGCAAGCCATCCGTATCCTGCAGCCAAAGTAGAACCATGCAGTAGTGCTGGTGGAAAAGTTTATGGAAAGCTGTCACCTCTGTGTAGCTGTCTTTCTGTGTCCACTGTAAGACAGAGAGCCGGGGCCCACTGTTGCTCAGCAGGGTCAGCAGTTGGGAAGAAGAGCCGACCTAGAGCCTTGAAGAGTGGAGATAAACTGGAACCTGCCAGCACCTCTAGTTCTGTATCACCACTCTTCACCCTCAGAACACTCTGAGAATAATAGCTCTCGCTTCACTTCTACCTTTCCAATCTTGTGCAGATTTTGTGTTTAGCCAGTTCTAACCTGGCACCATACAGAGAAAGGATTTTGGGAAATGTGTTTGAATTTAACCAAGTTGACATAAGATAAGGTGCCATAATTTCCCTGTGATATTTTCTTGTTGCACCCTATGTCATAGCCAGACTATTTCTTGAATTATTTGAGTAATATGTGTCTTTCATGGTAGAGGATAAGCTCCATGAACAAACAGATGATGTGTATTTCTTTTTTTTTTTTAAGATTTTTATTGGGGAATTGGGGGGATGGGAACAGTGCTGGGGAATTGGGGAAAGGGGAACAGACAAGTCGCCGTTGTTTTGTTCTTCAGTCTAGTTGTGGAGGACGTCGTCCCACCGGCCCAAGTTGGAACCATCATTGCGCCCTTTCCGGGCGAGGCAGACCAGTCGCCGGCCTCTGGACGGCCGCTCACCGGGGCTGCTGGCCGCTCACGCCGGCTGCCGGCTACACACGGTAGCCCATGGCAACCCACTGCCACAGGGGCTGTAGCCCACGCCGTCACTGGCGACTCACAGCAACCCAGCTCCAGGCCGAGCTGCTGTTCAGCACCTCAGCTGCCAGGGCAGTGTCACTGGCCCCCATATGTGGGATCCGAACCGGGGCTCTCTGGCGTCCCAAGCCAGTTCTTAACCATCGCGCCACTCGGCTGGCCCAGATGATGTGTATTTCTCTTGTTCATTGTATACCCAGTGCTCATCACAGTGCCTGACTGATTGTATTAAATGTGATGGCAAGTTGTGGAGAGTTGTATGATATCTTTATTTTTTACTTCTGCCTCCAGTCTCCTTAGTCTTGAACCTTTGCTAATGGTTAGTGCCTGTGAGCCCTACCTGGCTTTTACACTACTCTTCTGTTCTTTGTAGTGTACCTTTAACTTCTGCCTTTTGCTATAAGTGGCAGGAAATGACCATAGCAGAAAGTAGTAGAGCAAAAGAGCACAGGGGTAGAGAGACGGGAGGGTGAGAAGGAATACATTTTTACATGGCACCACACATTCAAAGGGACTCTTAGAGCTATACAGTAAGTCCTGAACTTACGAACATTCGAGTTGCGAACTTTCAAAGATATGAACGGACCTCGCATTACGAACATTCGTAGATGTGAACAAATCGTGGAAGTATTGGGTTGTCGGAAAAGTCATGACGCATTTTTGCAACAAAAACAGAAAAAATACGTCATGACTTTTCTGATGACCCAATAGCTCACATGTCTGCCGGACATTGTCACAGTTGTGCTGCTGTGTGCTTACTGTACAGTGCGATAGTGTACAGTAGTACAGGGCTCAATCAGAGCCCAGGATGTCCCGAAGCAAGAGGAAAAGCAGTGGTGATGTGGAGGGGACTGCTAGGAAGCGCAAAACAATAACCATGGAAACAAAAATCAAAATAATTGAGATTGGACCAAGGCGAAAAGATGGTAGACGTTGCTTGTTCTTATAACATGAATCGCTCAACCATTGGCTTTATATTGTATGTTTGTGTCAAAGGTGTATAAGACTCACTGTCGGACTTGTGAACGAATCCGACTTAGGAACATTCTCCTGGAACGGAACTCGTTTGTAAGTTGGGGACTTACTGTACATGTTAGGTCATTCATTATGTCTTCCAAATCATTGGCCTTATGTAAGGAGTACAATAATACTGAACAATTTTTAATCTAAAAATTAAGATGTAAATAGGTTTTATATTTGTATGATTGATTAAATATGTGAGCACTATTGATTTTACCTGAATGTAGTAAGGGAAATTCTGCAGTCTGAAAGAACAAGTTAAAAATTAACGTACATAAAGTTCATATTATCTTACATACACCTTGACACTTTGAGGAAGGAAGTGAAGAAGAAACAATGAAAAGTTGTTTAACTTAGACTGTAATAGGAACCGGAAATG